AGTAGCAGTAGGAGTAGGAGTAGTAGTAGTAGTAGTAGTAGTTGTTGTAGTGGTAGTAGTAGTAGTAGTAGTAGTAGTAGTCGTGGTGGTGGTGGTGGTGGTGGTAGTAGTAGTAGTAGTAGTTGTTGTTGTGGCAGTAGTAGAAGCAGCAGCATCAGCAGTAGCAGGAGCAGGAGCAGGAGCAGTAGCAGTAGCAGCAGCAGTAACAGTGGGGGTGGTGGTGGTGCGGTGGCGATCGCGGTAGCACTAGCGGTAGCGGTAGCGGCAGCGGTAGCAGCAGCGGTCGCGGTCGCGATCGCGGTGCTGGTCCTGGTGCTGGTGCTGGTGGCGGCGGCGGCGTCGTGTTAGTGATAGCGGCAGTGGTAGTGGCAGTGGTAGCAGCAGTAGCAGCAGCAGCAGCAGCAGTTGCAACAGGCACCAGCCTCCTGCCAATCATGGCACTTTGTTCTCTTGCCGTCGTGGTTACTCCTCTGGTTACAGGCGACTGGGATGCGGTGGTAGGACTGGCCAGACTTCTTGGTATGATCAAGCTTGCATTGCAAGTTTGCTTTGCCTCACTATTTTGTTGCCGTTTAAAACCATTATTTTTCATGACCGAATGTTTAATCCTGTATAACCTGGTCTGAAAGGACACGAGGGTACGTGGGGTCTTGATGGAGATGGCAACTGTGATCAATGTGATTGTGGTAATGATGACCATGTCTATCGCCAAGGCGATGCTGCTGCCGGTGGTTTCGATTGATGCTTGTGGTGATGATGATGATGATGATGTTGATGATGACAATTATGATGATGCTGGTATCAACAAAAGCACTGCGAGTCGATGGTGCTGGGCCCATCCCCATATGGGACTGTGATGGTTTTGCCTGAAGCGATCCACTTGCGAGCGTGACCGTTGCATGCGATCCAGCGGATATTCTCGACTCACCACCTACAGTTTACAGTCGTTTATCTTCCGGCCATATGCCATCGGTCTTCAAGCGCCCCAAAGCCAAAACCCGGGAGAACAGAGACCACGTTGTCGGACGGCTGAGTGTGACAGAGAACTAAGCTAACCCAAGACCACCATTATGGTGGTCACAAAGAGACTAAGACGTTTTGCGGAACAAATTGTGTGCACTATATCGCAGTTCGTGATAGCTTCATGCGAGCGGGCGTCTGCAGATTATATCATCCAGCAGAACGACATCATGCCTGACACTGCATATGACGTTTTCTGCGTGGACTGGCGCCTTCAGCTGCATTTCGTGGGATTTGTTTGGGCCCCCAACAGCCTACTCAACTGGAGAATGAAGGCCCTTCCTCTTCGGGGGCTTGTGTCGGGAAAGTGATGCTTGGATCTGCCCAGAAACCTTGAACCCTCGATTACTCGTGCTGGGACACTGCCTGCCCGCCCAACGAGGAGCCACAAGGAAGCCTCCGCATAGGACCCAAGGTGGTATACGGGCTCATGCTTACACAAACAGTTTCTTGAGCGTTCGATGTTGATTGCGGGGATCGACAAGGAACCCGCCGTCCCCAGTTCTGAACAGCATCCCCCAAAAAAGGGGGATTTGCCTCTGGTGAGGCCCAAAACAGAACAACTGGAAACCAGGCTCCCAGAACACGATTCCGTTGACTAGCGTCGCTGAAATCATGTCGAATCAGACCGCTGAGTCATGCTGCTGTGTCGCTTGTCAGGAGGATCTTGTGTTCCTGCACCTGCACTCAAACCGAACAGCCTGAGGCCCTAAACCTGGAGTTCCCGCAAGTTTAGCGCCGAAGCCAGGTACAGCAGCCAGTCCAAGAAGGATTTCGAAATCATCCCGGCGTGTACCGGAACTTCCGGGTGCGGCCTTGTGCCTCGGCGGGGTGTCCCCGACCACTATGGTACAGACACGTACACGAGCAATTAACATGCCAAAAGCCTTCAAGAGTGCCGCTGCGAAGCTAGGTTATTGAGACCTCGTCCGTATCTGGTGGAAGAATGCACCAAGTCTTCGGCTTGGAGGACGTGCAAGTGTCACGTGTACCATGTTGCCCAAGGTATGTGTTAAAAAGAGGACAAGAGTGCTCAGAAAACTTGCGCCCAACATGTTTCCCTTGCCATCTCGTCTGCTTCTTCAACTAGTGAAATTGTTGCTTGCGGCTGTGCTTGGCCTACCTCTCATCGCACAGGTGAGGCATGAAAGGCTTGCCCAGATTCGGGCCAATCCGTAACACAGCAGTGCCTCAGCAGCAGGACTTCTTTTGCGTGCTTCTGCTCCTAGCGCCGCTTGGTCACGAAGCCATTACGAGACTCCGCAAGCAGCCAAGATGTGAGAAGGGAGGCATGTCTGAACGTTGGCAAGCTCCAAATGCCAATAGGAAGCACAACGGACAACAACAGTGCCCGGCCACAGTCCGGAGTCCTTGCAACTAGTATCCTGAATACTCGTCATGGCATGATGGCAGTATCGCGAAAGCTTGTCTCTCGGGCACGCGGGGCCTGAGCCAAACCTGGGTTTGGGGTTTAGGGTTCTTTGGGGTTTAGGTTTTAGGGTTCTTTAAGCTTTAGGGTGCTTTAGTGTTTAGGTTTTAGGGTTCTTTAAGCTTTAGGGTGCTTTAGTGTTTAGGTTTTAGGGTTCTTTAAGCTTTGCAAAGCCACTTAAAACCCGAAAGCCCTCAAGCGATACACTATCCCAGTGCCCTTGTCTCAAAGCCAGTGCCCCACCTGAAGGTACGTTGGCTGGAGCTATGTTTTCCAAATCTGCCAGGTGCCGGGGTGTTTGACGCATCAATGGAATGCTTTCTATGTTTGAGGGTTCTTGGGGCTTTGGGTTTTCCGGGTTTTCGCCTGTGGGGGCTTGGGGATTGGGGCTTTGAGGTTTCAGGGTTTCAGTGATGTAGGAATGTAGGGCTGACGGTTTGGGCCTTTAGGGTCTCAGCATGTCAGAAAACCCTATGGTCTGACGAATTTATCTCGAGCATGTTTCAATTCCCGCAAGTCTGAAGTGCTGTTTATCTTGGAATTTCGATGTTTGCCGCTGTCAAGCATCTCAGGTACTGCATGAAACTGGTGCAGCTGTCTTGGTAGGGCTGCTGCTTGTTGGCATGTTCGAAGCGCTAGGCAAGCATTGGCGGCATTGGAATTGGCTCGAATGTTGGCTGGTGGGGCAAGCTTATGGTCCTAATAGGAATAGTAGGAGGTTTTGATCGGGCTTGCTGTTTTCATGCAGCGTTTGCTCACACGGACGAGGTTCTTCGTACCTGCAAAATCTCGCATCTTGGTTCCACGTTTCGCAGCGAAGTACGGACCAAACACCAAAATCACCCAAGCCTACACAAGCCTTTGTTTCAGCCAGACCTTCCCAATCCGCAAAGCGGAAAGATCCTAACAGCCCTGTACAGGAAAAAGCAGGGCTCCGGGTGACTTGAAATTTGGCATGCTTATCATGTTGTTCTATGCTTTCTTCGCCCATTACTCACACATTACTCCTTACACACCACGCGGAGAACACACATGTTGTACGTACTGCACACACACACACACAGAGACAGACACTCGCACACACGGCATTCTCAAAAAGCTGTGGCAGAGCCGAGGATTGCCGGCTACATCATGAAGGCCTGCTCTGGCCGAACAGCTACATTTAGCCCCTCGGACAGAGCCGACAATAGTTCAATAGTGGATTGCAAGGCCAAGATTTAGAGAGTCTACAGTCGAAAAGGTTCTTGGATATTTCTTGAGCTACCAAAGTAGCAGGGGGCACTTTCTTAAATGGGCCTAGAGCAGGTGGATGGATACCGGAGCAAGTTGGAGCATCCTAGGAGAAGGTTTTGCCCCTCTGAGGCATTTTGGGGGAGTCGCTCGTCCCAGCCTGATCCCAGCCTTGTGGAGTAAAACAAGTCCCACCTAGCAGAAGGAATTTGGTAACCGAATCTAGCAAATTGCTGTTGTCTGACTTGATGTCTCTGCCAGAGATGAATGCGAAACCTTGAGCTCTGTCCTCAGCTTACATGGAGCTATGACTGACTCCTTGAGGCTACGACATGTTCAGCTACATGCTGCTTCCGATGGTAATCTTCGCTGCGGGTTTCAACCTTGACAAGCAGAAGTTCTTCCGAGCTTCGGCGCAGGGAGACATTGAGTAGAAGGGCTGGGATGTTACCTAGTAGGAAGTTCAGGGCATGTAACAGTTAGGCCAGGCAGCGCCATATCTTTGATAATTACGAATTGCCTATACTATTTTGGGTGTTCTTTCTTATTATAGTTATAGTGGAATGGACCCCAAAACCCTATTCTAATTATTAAGGCCCCTATATCAAAACGCCCTGGCCCGGCTACAGTGTGGTTTCAAGCTTGTACTGTAGTTAGGGCTCACGGTGTAGAGCCTTGGGCCTTAAGAGACTAGGCAGTTCTGGAGGGATATTGATGGCGGGATGGGTCACAGGCCCAGACGAGATCGAAGCACCCTTAAACTCGAACCCTAAACCACGGGGTGCACAAGCCCGGAAGAAGCGCCAAAAGCGGACCCCAGGGTTCGGCGGCTACATCTTTGCACTGGGAATCACAGGCACAGCCGCCAGGCTGCAATGGGGCCCGAACGACGCTTCAGACGCATTGGCCCCACATCCTGTAACCCTGGAGCCCACAAGCCATCGGAGTTGGAAGTCGTCTCGTTTTGGGTCCTGTGCTCTGGGCATGATGGTGCAGGGTCTAGGTCTCAGAGCTCGGGGCGTGAGCTAAGCATGGCTTAGCATGCTGCAGTGCGTGTGTGCTGCTGAGCAACAGACCGGTTTTGGAGGGTCATGAAAAGGTTGCACTTTTTTTTACTGGAGTTGTGGCATCTCCCGATGAATTTCCCCTCGCTCTGGTGGCAGGTTTCTTTGCGGACCATGGAAATGTCATATTTAATATGGAGCCGTTCCGTCAACAAAGAGGGCCCCTCATAAAGCCACCTTTCCAGTCAGTGCGAGGCTCCACATTCCCACGATTTGATGCCGGGATGCCCTATATACGTCACCTCGCCGAGGTTTGCATTTTCCTGCTGATTTACTTCGGCTCTGTGATCTTCACCATACGCCCTGCTTTTCGACTGCTTTGGCCGACGGGGTAGGAGTGAGTTTGCATCCTGGTCAGGCCTTGGGCGAAAGGTGTAGATTTAAGTACTGGAACACGATGCCTCTCAATCACTGCGAGACCCCAAAGTGATGTGAATGCGATCTCAACGTCCCAAACCTTTCAAGCTTTGGAACCCGCAGTTCTTCGACCTTGCGAGCAGGCCTCCGTGAATATTCAGAACCCAAGATGCCTCACGTAAAGACAAGCTTTCCCAAGACTTCGAAGACCTTTTCCCAAAGACTCGGCCCAGCTGTGTCTCACTAATATCGGTGCCGACTGGACTCATTCTGAAGCATAGTCACAGATGGATCCTCACAGGCAGTGCGTGGCGTCTTGGAACCTTACAGAGCTTCTAGACCTGCGGCTACCTCTCGGTGCCCGCATACCCCCAAACTTTCAGGTGAATGGTGATCCGTTTGTGATTCCGGCACAGAGCTTCGGCTGACACATGTGGCAAGATTTGGGATTTCGCTTACCGAACTTGATTGGGGCTGGTTGGGATTTCAGAAGTTGCACAGTTCTGGCTATCCATCATGTATCACTCGTCCAGCCAGCAATAAAATCAATAAAGGCAAGACCGCTCTGATGAACTTAACGGCAGGCACGGTAAAGGGAGACAACCCCACCAATGCAAGCTGAACCTCCGAAACTCGAAAGCTCAAAGCTTGAACCCGAAACCGCAGGTGTCTGGACCCCGCCGGAACCCTGCGGTATAAGCCCTCAACTCCAAGAAAGGTTGGTGGCACTCTCATGCTCCATGCAAACCCCTCTGATCCCAAGGAATCGCCTTATTCTCGCTTCGGTCCTGGCATCGACAGAGACTTGCCGGGCAAAATCTTGACTCAGGTATTTAATAATGTTACTCATCAATATTATGAATGAGTATCCTTACGATACCAAATAGCAAGGGTTTAGGGTTTTGGGGCCCGGCTTTCCCATTCCGCTTCAGGACACAAAAGGGGTCATGTCAAGCCCCGAACTGCATGGCCCCTTCCTTGAATTAGTGTCGCATGGCTCCTTTCAGTCACGAGTGGGTGGCTGGATCTAGGCGAAAGAAGCCTGCTGACAGACTTGCTCGTGGATAGTTACACCTACATGTATAGATGTATCTCGAGGCCCCGAGACCACATATTGAAGCTCAAAACTTACATACAGCACTTACTAAGCCTTTAAAACAACCTTTCGTCGGAGGATACCGTGGCACCGATGGCCTTTGTTTCGGCCACGGACTTTCCTCAACTGCACCGTGATGACAAGCCATGGCTCAGCTGCTGATTTCTTTCTCTGACGAAGATCACTTAAACTAACAACAAAACTCAGTCGCGAGGGCTTTAGCCGCTCGAGGTTTACGGTCACTTTCATCGTTTGAGGAATTAGTGTCAAAGGCATAGGAAACGAGGCATGATACCCTGCCCGAGTCTATCTAAGTGTGAGTGTCGGTAGCAGAAAGCCTGATCCGCATAGATCCTGAGCCCTGAACCTAAAATTGTAACAGTTCGGAGATGCCTAAAGCCCCCCATCGTTCTGTATTGCAATAAAGGAAGCCGCTCAGCAAAGCATCCTACAGGTGCCCATTGAGTTGCAAAGTAGGGCACATAGCTTGCACACATGAGAGTGCTTGATGTGCGCATATACATATGCATATGTATGTGCATACATGTATGTAATATTGTACACGCGCTGTGCGTGTGTGTAAATAAGAAAGAAAGTAAGTAACGAAGTAACTAAGTAAGCAAGCAACTAAGTAAGTAAGTATGCATGCATGCATGCATTTATGCGTACATGCTTATTTCACATACACACACATATATATATATATGTAATATAGTAGGTCTATATGTACGTCACGTACGTATGCATGTATGTATCCAGGTTGGCATGTACTTCAATGACCCCGTGTGCATGTATGTGTGCATCTTTGTTTGTTACACTCACGTTCCTCTAGGTTTCGCATACGTGTTTACATGGCTACCAGTACACAGGCATGTACAAAGGTGCTTTTGGAGTTTTCTTTGCAGGAGGGAAACATTGCGAGAACCTGCATGAATCCTGTAAACAAGGTATGCGGTCATCTTTGGAGAAGGCGTGCTCAACGATGTCGTGTCCATCCTGACACCTTTCTGCAAAGACATGTCTGTGATTTCGAGCTGGGAGTTTACGATGGCTACGTTGTGGGTTTCCCTGGATCCGGGTGAAATGCGTGCGTGGGCCCTCGGGATGTATTAGGTTCGAGCAATAACATTGACCTGGCGCTCTATGGTCGTTCAGATGAACGAAATCAAAGTGAGGCTCAGCACCTCAGTGGAGGATGCAACATCAATGCCTCCACTGCTGCTTGACCTGCATCAGCTGCTTAAGGTGTTCAATGTCCTCGGTTTTGGTCATGATATGACCCCTACGTTTTCTCGCCTCTCCGAAAGTACTATTCCCGCGATTACGCTACTGCTGTCAATATCACTACACGCATGTGTGTGTGTGTGTCTGTATGTGTGTGTGTGTCTCTGTCTGTGTTTGTGCATTGGGATGTGATGTTCGCACCGCTTTTTCTATCTCCTAGTGCGGCTGATGCTCTTTTTGCGTTACTATCTCCGTTGGTGAAAGAGCTCCTGCCCAAAGATCGTCTCCGTGCCGGCTTTGCAGCTCCTCGACCTCGACAGCAGCCGTATCAACACCCTCCACACCAGTAGTGCAAAAGTCCCAAACCTACTGAACGAGCCGATGCTTATGCAAGGCCAACCTGTAAAAAGCTCTCATGTGGCTTTCCGAACTAGCGTAACTAGTGTTCGTTTGTGTTTTGAGGCTTCAAGCTTCCCCTAAAGCCACAAGGGTCTTCGTCTTCGGACAGCCTGATCACATGTCCAGTTTTGGGATTTGTTGCCCTATGTACAGTGAACCTTAATCCTTATACAACCCCTACATAAGCCTGACATAGGCCTTGTTTTTTTTGACATATTGTTGCAAACATATATATATATACATAAATACATAAGCCTGATGAGACCCATGCTTACGTACATATAAACACATATATACATATGTAGCTTTGTTCATCTGCAGGTGTATTTGTTTGTCACGCTTGCAAAAAGCCCCTGTGTAGCTATTAGAGAATCCTCATAAGCCTCCAGCCCCGGAGTCTCAGGCTCGAACTCTTCGCCCGCTTGTTCAAAGTCTTCCTTTGCTCATCTGGGTTTGGCATTGCCTTCGGCCTTGCCACGTCGCTGCTGCAGCCCGGCTCAAGCGCCTTTTGGGTTTTGGGTCGGGGTAGACTGCAAGCCTGCTGTGGCAAAGCTTCAGAGACACAGCAAACCAGATTCTCTTCGAAACGAGTGTTACCAGTGCAGGCACAACCCTCGCTTTTCATCCGGCTCAGCTGTATGTTCTCGAGGCTTGACTGTGATGCGGTGCGATAGAAGGATTCCAGCCTTAAACCCCGAAAGCAAGCCCGAACTTTAAAAAATCCTGGACGCTAGAATCTGGTCCCCGGACTGGACAGCGAACCCCGGGAAAGCTCGACCCCACACCCGACTTCGGCTCATAGTTCGTGAGCCCCGAGGTTCAAGCATGCTAGCCCCGGCTCGCTTGGTGCTGTCTTCGGCGACTTACCCTTCAGGGTTTTGGGTGCAGCGTTTGTCAGCTACTTCGGTCTCTTGGTTTAAGAAGTGATGTGTTCATGCCAGGTTGCTCTAAGGTGTTCTGGTGCCGCAAGGCTCTAAGTCTACCTGCAAAGCTGCTCTTCCTATGACAGGCGAAGCCCTTGCACAAGGAGGTCATGAAGCCTGTGGTGCTACTGTTCGGCTGCAACTACGCTTGCTGCTTGGTCTTTCTGGATTCTCCATTAGATTCCTTTTACCGTTCGCCGTCTTGTGGTCCAAGACCTGAAGCCTGAGGCGCGATCGGGTAGCCTTGCCATGAGAAGCACAAAGAAGCATTTCAGGAAGGGGCTCGAATCTTGGACAACCTTGGCTGTGGGGCTGTCAAGACTGCCGGTAGCACATGACACTGGGATGCTGGTGGTGTGATCTGTGCAGGATGCAACAGCAGCAAAAGCAACATGCACAACCACCAACCTCACAACCACACCTGCAACAGCGACAAGCACGCCAAGAGCAGGACCACAACCACAACCACAAGCCAAGCACAACTGCAACAGCGACCAAGGCAACCAGCCTAACAGCGACCACAACAAAACACACATTAGCATCATCACGCCCCCTTTGATGGCCGCCGTTAAGCGACATAAGCCGACGCTGCTTGATCCAACCTTGCCTGCAGAGAGACGCTTGGATCATCAAGCTGTGTCACTTGTGGGACCATCTGCACTGCGATCAGGATGAGGAGGGATGTCATCCACAATGGAACAGCTCTCATCATGACATGCGTGAGCGGGAGATGCCACGGTTGTATAGCTACCACAAGCAGTCATGCGAGAGGTGACATGAATTAGCTAGTTCAAGTGCCACTGTAATGCTTCCCTGAACATGACAGGTATAATCCTACTACCGGTGTGGGGCCATGGATGAAGAAGAAGTAAGACTGTACACATGCAAATTGCGCGAACCGTCGTCTAGGTGCGCTGCGGAAGTATATAGCCGCACTTGTAATGGCTACCAACCTTCAGATAGCTGACATCCATTGAAGTTCTAAAGGATGGGTAGCACATCAGGATCGGCTGGTGAGCATCTGGTGAGCCAAGGAATCTTCAGCGCTCTGTTTCGTGGAGACCTGCTGTTTGTACAAAGCACCGTGGCCGCGATGCTAGGGGGTGCGGCATTGTGCGTATGACAGACAGAGGTCTATGTATATGGTCTGCTTTGGATTTCCGCTGCTTGGGAGTCGAAGGCCACCCAAAGTTGTTTTCAACCGCAGTCAATCACCGAAGTAGTCTTCGGATACTGCCACGCGGGAGCCAAAAGAATCACCGAAGTATTTGGGTTTCCGATGGCACTCGGAGTTAGACCAAGGCCAGGATCAGTCCTTCTGTACCTCAATAAATGGCTGGAGCCTGCGGCTTTCTGCTCCCGTATGACAGCAGTGGCGATTTGATCAGCAGGCTTGCCAACGCTCTCCTACAGAGCAACGCTGCGCAGTCAACAGTGATTCGAGTGATGCTGCCGGTACTTCTGGTGAAGAAAGAAGGACTGATCATGATGAGTTGATGGCGGTGAGATTGTCGTGGTGCAGGTAGTGGTGATAATTTCAATGATTCGACTGATTCTCATGGCGTGACTACTGGATCATATGGTAGCACATTTTGGGCGGAACAAGTCGCACGGGTAGCAGGAATCGTGGTCTTGCCAGCCCAACTGCAGTACGAGTATTTGAGTGCAGGGTTGGGGGTCGAGCGGCTTGGGACTGAGATATGAGTCGGCAGCGTTTGCGAAATTCTGTCTGAAGTTTGCCGCTCAGTTTCCTGTGGCATCAAGGTGCAGCATCCTGCTTCGATTGGCAGCAGGTGCGGGGCGGGGCGGGAGCTCACTGCCAAGCCATCTCGCAAACTATCGCAATTTCAAAAAATCACGGGGAGCAAGCGCGCGGCAGGAAACTCATGAGTTCACGGCTGAAGAAATTTGGAAGTACTTGCCGAATCTTGAGTTTTCACCGATTCACAGGGCATGTTGTTTCCTCGAGTCCCGAAATCTTAAGCCGTGTGAATCGAGGGTCTTCAGGTGTCATGTTGCGCACATTTGGCATTAGTATGAAACTATGGAGGAAGGACCAACAAGGAGGAAGGGCTAAAAATCGCAGAGGATACGGGAGACAGAGGGTGTGCCATTGAATACAAGCTCAGATGTTGCAGGACACGGCATACGAGCTGGAAAATGACGTGAGGTGTGAGCTGACATATTACGAACCAGGCAATCTGTGGAAGTTCTGTCTAACATAGGGGCTGACATCTAAGCTAACATACGGCATGTCCCACAAAGCGGCACATGGACTGGCGAATGAATTCGCTACGACATATAGCCTGGCACTCCTCTGGGCCCTGGGTCCTAGAAGCACCGAAAACCCCTGTTTTGATGATCAGGTGAGCTTAAAGTATGGCACCACCCTCCAGGCAGCCTGGTGGTCGTGGGACAATCGGGGGAAGCACAGCTCAGGTGTCGAGGTTGAGACAATCGGTTAAACCGAGACACTTACAAGCAAACATTCCCTAAATGCGCCCGGCAAGTTCCTGTTGTGAGTGCTGATATGCGAGCCATTTCAGGAATAGGAGCATATGCTTGGCAGTATCCAGGGGGCTACTTATGTGCATCGGATTCAGCACGATCTGATCTTGATGGGCCTAAGCAACACACGGGAAACAATCTTGCCAGTGCAGATGCCATAAAGGTGACAGGCGTTTTGGAGCAGTTCAGGTTGACCTTTTTTCTGATCAGTTCTTTCAATCTGCTACAGTACCCGACACCCGGACCTTTTGCTATTTGTTTTTTGCCTACGTCACTCCCGAACCAACGACCCAGCAGATGTTCAGACGTGATAGTCCATGTGTCATAACACTCGAAGCCATGGAGCTTTGGGCTACTATCATTGAAATCCGAATCGAGAATGTGGTGTCAGACTATACTGGAGACTTCCAGGTTGGATGACTAGTAACTGTATTAAATAAAGTTGTGTAGATATTTGCATTGGGAAGAAACTTGAATGCTTGCCGCAAGCATGTTCGTGGATTTACTCCTGCGTCAAGATGGGCAGCGTCGAAGTGATTGTCGTGTTGCTGTTGCCGCTGCCATACTACTATTACTACTACTACTACTACTACTACTACTATTACTACTACTATTACTACTACTACTACTACTACTACTAATTCTACTTCTACTTCTACTTCTACTTCTACTTCTACTACTACTACTACTACTACTACGACCACCACCACGACCACCACCACCACCACCACCACCACGACGACGACTACTACTACTACTAATACTACCACCACCACTACTACTACTACTACTACTACCACTACTACTACCATTACTACTACCACTACTGCTACCACTACTGCTACTATTACTTTTGCTGCTGCTGCTACTACTACTACTACTACTACTAGTACTACTACCAATACCACTACTACTACCACTACCACTACCACTACCACTACCACTACCACTACCACTACCACTACTACTACCACGACTACTACTACTACTACTACTACTACTTCTACTACTTCTGCTACCATTACTACTAACCGACTACGACGACGACAACAACTACTTATATTAAAGATAACAATAACTGCTGCTGCTTCTGCTGCTACTACTACTCCTACTACTACTAATAGTACTACTGCTGCTACTGGTTCGCACTGCATTTCCCAACGCAGGTTACTCGTATCATAGCAACCGGGACAAGCTGCATGCTCATGGTTGCCCTTCAATTTCTGTCGTGTGTAGTGAGTAGCCCAGTGGCTGCGATCCCGGACTCGACCGAAGTGTTCCCTTGTCGCACCGCGTGAGACTTGCTAAGCAAGCCCGAAAAGAAAATTCCCGATGCGGGATTCAAGTGTTTGGGGCTGGGATTTCCGGGTTCCTCGACTTGGGGTTTCGGGCTTTGGACCAGTGTAGCCACTGTATCTGATTAGGGTTGAGAAGTGAGAATCAGCACGAGTAAGTTTAAAAGGATGTTGCTGATGATGGTGTTGATGGCGAGAAGATTGACAACGGCAATGCCCAACCATGGCGAGGCGTGAAGCATGGGCTTACTCGACAGGCCATAGCCCAGAAGAAGTACCATGAAGCTCTTCGTCCAGCTCATCCCTAGACCGGCATCTTAAAAGCTATCTCGACCTAACATCGGAGAATCCACGCCGCAAAAAGTCGCAGAGCTCCTGGCCCCGAGGCACCTTAGCGCAGGTTCCACACGCACACCTGGATGTCTTCAACATCTGAATCTTCTCTCTGCACCACTCTTGTTATACTACACCTGTTCCTGCAGCACCTGCACAGGTGCAAGTTGCAAAGGCGCCCATACAGATGCATATCTGTGGCTCCATCTCTCTTTGTGCATGTGAGTGGGTGTGTCTGTGTGAGAGAGCGAGTGCGAGTGCGAGTGTGAGTGTGTGTGTGTGTGTGTGTTGGTTTTTGGTGCGCACGAACATCAGAGGAAAGAACGGGGGGCATAAAGATACCGACATCGTAAGACCGTGCAATTCAAGGTCGCAGTGGGTTCATTTCAGAAATGCAACATGTGCTTTTTCTAGTGATAATTAATGCATTGTTTTTTTTGGTCCCTCTGTCATTTGCTGGGAAAGCATACAGCCAGCACAGACTTGCATAGATGTGCAACCACTGCAAACATTACCAGGAATAGTGTAGGCACTTGCAGTTGTGTCGCAGTATGCCCATGAAGGATTCAACTTCAGTTACATAGTTGCGTTTCCTGGAAAACCACACTCCAGAATGCCATGAACTCAAGCTACTGTACAACAAGCAGTGCAGCCAAGATTCAACAACCACTTTGACGATCCCGGAGGCTGGTAAGGTTGGTTTTGAGCCGAAGTTTGCCGCTCCGGACCCTAGGATTTGGCGGGTTGTTTCGGACGCACGGGCCTAGACCTTATTCGCAGGATTGAACACTCTTTACTCCTGGCTTCGCAGTAGATTAACTAGAGTGATGAGGCTCGTCGAAAGAAGGGGTTTGCTGTTCGACGCGGTGCTCTGTCCAGCAAGAGTTGGGGAAGCTTCAGTGAGACCCTGGACAGTATGCAGACAATTAGATTTGGGGTGTATTTGTCGGGCCGCCCGTGTTGCCTGTCATGCGACTTTGCAAATGTTGCTCACACCCCTTGATCCATGGGCTCAGCCGCAAAGTCTAAGACCGAAGATTACCCAAGAAGGTTCGCACCCGGCTGCGGGAGAAGCCAAAGCATGCGCTAAGTTTTGGGAAGATGTTTTGCGGCGTTCATACGGAGACGAAAGATGCTCAAGATGTTGTATTCGGTCATGGTGACGATAACGACTTCCATGCAGGCACATAGTTTTGATGATGACTACTACAGCACTCAAGGTCGGACGAGGGGGCCTATATACAAAGCTACTGCATCCGCACAGGTTCGGAATGCCAACAGCATGCTGTGATTTTTTGGCACGTGCTTTACATTGTACACTTATGCATAAGAGATGAAAGCCGCAGCAGATTGTGATGTCCCTTCCTCCTATGCTACCGGATGGTTTCCAGCTGGCTGCTCGGCCTTTCACGGCCCGGTCAGAGGGGAGCCCTCAGGTCTTGCAAGTCTTCCGGGAGCGCTTTGACCCGGGCGAGTGTAAGCCTCTGGCAGAGCATCGCCTTGCTTTGGCAAATCGAGCTCCCCACTGATGTGCTCCCCACTCTTTTGATATCTGCAGCTGGCTCTCGAACTTGTGTCCTCAACCAAGCAACCGGATCCTTGACCTGCTGGGAGGAAGAAGATCTCGATGAGGTTCATGCGGCATCAGATTTAGGCCCCTTGCTCACCGTGGCTGCGGGTACAGGCCGCACTTGCACCATCACAATGCTGGGGGAGCTGGTGTGCTTCGGAGCAAATGATCATGGGCAGTGCAACGTCCCCCCAGATTTGCATAGAGTCGTGTCGGTAGCAGTCGGTGACCTTCATAGCTGCGCCGTCCGCCCCGGTGGCCAGCTTGTATGTTTCGGATGGAATGGCTCGGGGCAGTGCAATGTCCCGAAAGATCTAGGGTCAGTCGTATCTGTCTCAGCTGGAGCTCAGCACACGTGCGCAGTGACATCCGAAGGAGGACTGGTATGTTTCGGAGGGAGCGCTGAGGTTGGAGAGTGCAACATTCCTTCAGATCTGGGCCACGTTGTGTCTGTGTTTTGTGCCGGTCTTCACACTTGCGTGCTGACTGCAGATCAACAGTTAAGATGCTTCGGATGGAATGGACATGGCCAGTGTAATGTTCCGGCAGATCTGGGACAAGTTGCGTTTGTTTCAACGGGTGCGCTGCATACATGCACGGTCACGGTTCATGCGGAGCTAGTGTGCTTCGGCTGGAATGAGTATGGACAGTGTGACGTTCCTAAAGACTTGGGGCCCGTGGTCTCCGTCGCAGCTGGAGGTGGGCACACCTGTGCTTTGACTGTCACAGGCCAACTGGTTTGCTTTGGCCTTGTTGATGAAGAAATCAACAGATGGTCACGTGCTATGCAGCGGCCTTAGTTGACAAAAGATCAGCTGCTCCACAAGCCGAACCAAGTTGCGCTCATGAAAATGGTTTTCTGGTGATACTTGCTACTGCAAGCAGCAACGACCTCATTGCCGGGTACTTTCGATGGGTCTTCCTGTTCGCAAGCATCCTGTAACCCATCCAGGGCTGTGCATCACCCAATGCATCACGGAAATTAGGACCCAAGCGGCGTTGTCGTCCGGGACAGGTGCCTGAGACGACGCCAAATGTCAAGGCCAAGGGTGTGGAGAGCTTGTCAACGGCCAGGGCGAACGCACAGCCGCTTGCTGCAAACAGGAAGTGTCAGACATCCCTCGCAGAGAATTGCTTTGAGTAGATGAACAGGGGGCTCTTCTTGGTTTCCATTTTGGGACGGTCAGACAAGCTTCTGTGGGAGATAGCGGAAGAACATGGTTTGTGAGAATGATTGGAAGCACCAGTATGTTGGAGTGCCTGCAGCAAAATCTGCTAGCAGCTAGCACAGACAGCAACATGTCTGGTGTACAAAACCTGAAGCCCAGGTTAGATCTGGCAGAGGCTATGGAGGCCCAACTGGCCTGTGGGCGTCGGGTTGTAGAGTTTAGACTCGTCAGGCTACCCAAAAGTGCGCACTGATTGCTTTAGCCCGAAGGATGTTGCAGGGCTTGCCAGGGCTTGAGCGGCTCGTGCAACGCTTTAGCAGCTATCTTCTGAAAGAGATCTGACGGGCCCGGCCATCATCAAGTCAATGGAGTTCACAGATGCCTGCACAGCACAGGTTCCTCAGATGCTTGCAGGGAGCATGTACAAGCACAGTTTAGCAGTGTAACATGAGTCTTCAAATCTGAAAGCTGGTGCGGGAGCCTGGTCTGCAGGACGTGGATCCCCCTGAACCAAATATATCCAAAACAAAGCCGCATGTTCAGATTACTCACTACTCACAGCTGGAAGTGTTGCAATGTCTGGTGTTTGACTCTAAGCGACTGCGGCGAATGCATGTGCTTCTCTGCATCCTGCCTAGCTCCAGCACCACTGCCCCGGCAACTTCTGAGCTCTACAATGTTAGTACTGTCCACAAACAGTTGTACAGCATGGCGCGTCATGCTATTAGTCTTACTCGTGTATCTTACCCTTGTTGAATGCTGACGCTCGAGTCAGTAGGACTGGTCAGAATCATAGTATTGCTTGATTGCGAGTTCTTAATGCAAGGACAGTGAGTGTGAAGATTGTTACTTTGGCATCTCTACGGTGTGCTGTGAATAATCTGTCCATGGTAGTGGCATGGAGTAGCTTTGGAGTGAAAACGGAAACTCAACGTAATGATTCTAAATGGAAGCAGTCGTGCCAAGAATATCATCACTGACGATGACAACCTCCAGAAGACCACCAGTAGAACCAGTTTTCGCATGACGCCAGTAACTAGCAATGAAATGCTGGTAGAATTGCTGGCTTCATCGTAACCACGGTGCTGCGATGACTACCAATGCTTCTGATAATGATGATAATGTTGATGTCGATGAGGGTTACGGAGGTGTGACAGGTCTTCAGCCATTGGCATCTGACGCTCTGCCGGCAGGACCATGACGAGCCGCGACTGCGCCGGGCTCTTGCCGTGGCGGAGCATCTGGAAGTAGCACCCGAGGCACTGCCGTTGGATCAGTTGACCGTTCTTGCACGGGTTCTGGAAACAGGTCAGTTTCGTTGGGAATCGATTTCGTACTTCGTGCCAGGACAGACAGTTTCGTTGTACTTTGGCTTACCAGGGGTCGACGGAAAAACCCCCTAGCCTCACGCACCGTGGAGCGTGGAGCGAAGCGATCATTGACACCCATGTTGAATAATCGTTCTGAGTTGTAAACATACCATTCATTACTACCAGTACTTGCTCAATGGTTCCTTTCTTCCGTGGTGGCGTTCGGTTTCGTCCTGTCAGGAGATCGCCGCTGCTCGGAGGATGCTTGAGTTCGAGATCAACAAGCTACTTCTCGTAGACGCTGGTCCTCGTGTGGGTCTTTAGGGATGCGGTTCCTGTTAACGAGGCTCTTCGGGAAGTTCGGCTCCAGGGCTGAGGGCGAAGGCTCGGGGTGCTGTCAACTGGACTGATGCGCCCTGGGGCACTAATGAGATTCCTAGTTTATGCTCAGAGCCTTACTACTTGACCCCACCCACCCTCAATCTTCTTGGCATTGTAGCCATTCCATGAATCATTAGACACAAAACCCTGAACAACTAGGCCTTGAAAGTGTTTCTCCATGTAGCTTTGCTTGCTTGATGCTTCAAGCTCAGGATGCCAAGCAGATGCGCGCCTCCATCCGGCAGCTCGCCCTGCGCGTAGCAGAGGCGGAGCGACAGCAGAAGCCGCCGGAGGCAGCTCCATGGATTTAAGGGATTGGGGCCCGGATGTTGACATGATGAGAGCTTCGAGTAGGACTCACTCCGTAAAGACGCGAGATAGCTTCGGGGCTCAAATGCCTTCGCGACAAGTGCCGAGAAGTTCACACATCCGTAGACTTTATAATAGGCTCCACATGTCCTAAGGCAAGTGCCCGCAAGCGACAACAAGTGTCCAAATAGGCAAAATGGCCACAGGCTCACGCTCCCCCGCGGTTCGCGCAGATGGCCGAGCTGCTGGAGAAGCGAGTCTGGAGCAGTCACCGGCCACAGCTTCGGGTTGGAACTCTTGTGTGGCGGTTCGGCGCCTTCCTGTGGATTACAGTATGAGCAATGTCGAGATTGCTGGCTGCCTTGGCTGTTTGGTAGCTTGTTAGAGCTGTGCTAGACTCAGAAGCCGGTATAGTCGCGATCATTAAGGCCATCAACACAGTGCGATCATCACATCATTCGCCCTCCGTCACTTGACAAACAGTACAAGAGCGAGACCCACACACACACACACAGACACATCACAGTCACAGAAGCCCGAAGACGACGGTCCACCATGCTATGAAGCATCAATGCTGAAACAAACTCTTCACGGGCTTGGGAAGGTTGAAGTTGAAGAGCTGGAAGCTCTAGGAAGCAAGCATCAACGGCACGTCAACTGTTGCTATGCAGAATGATAGTCACAGTTGTTGGCAGTTGTGTCCACACAACAGTAACAACAAGGAGTGGTACAGCCATGGTTAGAGTCAGAACCGGCCGACACTCCAAGCCTGCAGTCTCAAGAGCCCAGGTTTGGAGCCAAAGATTTCGAGCATCGTCTCCAGCCTGGACCTTGGACCTTCCCAAAAAGAAATTAAATGGTCTCGGGGCTTGGCCCTGAGCCCTAGGTTTTCCTCGAACCGCCTGCTCGTGCGAACATCACAGTAGAGCACTCCAAAGCGCTTCTTTCAGTTATCGTTGTTTTTGTTCATTCAGTGTGCAGCAGATGTGCGGAATAGGGTCTGGTACCTTCCCATGTTCCTGCAGATGAGTGTTGTCAACTTTTTTGTGGTAGATACATGTACCCTGTGACTGAGACGGAAAGCTCCCGAAAACGCATTTTCGTGGTTATTTCAGAATTCAGTCCTGTTCACTACGTGATTTGTTGCTGCTACTGCAGGTTGTCGTTCCTTGTCATTCTTCCCTTGCATTATTAGCCACATCGGTACGATGTGTATCAAGTTCACACAAATGGCTTCTGTGGTTTGGAGTTTCTGACAATTTCTGACATGGGTCGTGGGGGCACAGACCTACCAGTAGTTTCACGGCCTCATGACAGAGGGGTCCCGAACCCTGAATCTGGGCAGTGAGTTCCCCGCGCACATCGTGGCGAAGTTTGGAGTAGCTACTAGGAGTTCCCAGAGTCCCAGAGAACCATTGCCAAGAGGTTTGTTGTTCTCTGGCCCAAGCCAGTGGCTTTTGCGGAACTGCCCAGGCGTGGTGGCCAAAGCGACTGCTCGCATGGGAAAAGCAGATGGGCGGCTCAGCCTGGCTCAGTTTAGGTCTTTGCACCCTCTTGGAGACTTCTTAGACTCCAGTGAGCCAAGTCTATAAGACTGTGCTGAAACTTGGAATCGGTCTTTGTCCCGTCGTCTTCGCACAATGTGTCCCCCACATCTTGAGACTGTTTCAAGCATTGCTTTGAGCAGCCCCACGTCAGTGATCACAGAGGTTGTGAGATTTGCATGTTAAGGGCTACATCAATTTTATGTAGCGTGGCCAGCCGGAGAGAGAGCGAGAGAGGGTTGAAAGCACATAAGCAGGTGGCACTGAGAGCGACAAAAGGCCATGTTGCAACCTACCCAGTTTGCTTCTGTCTTTTCCTCTTGACTTGCCCTGCCGCCTAGGGCACGAAATTCTCCTCCTTCGGTCACGTTCGAGGACCTCGACACCGACAAGGATGGTTTCATCTCCCGTCAGGCGCAGAAAGGGCTTCTACCGCTCTTGAAAACACGAGTAAAGCTGCGAATGTATCAAAATGTCCGCATACTATAACCACCGAAGGGGATATTAATCAAGATGAGAACCGAGATGCCACTTGCGAGTACAGACGTCTGAACAGTGTCGTTCTGACTATGAGTCATCTCATAGCTGTGCTGCTTCTAGTGCTTGTGTCGGCACATTGACTTCTCCGGTGTGGTCATGGTGACGAGCACGCTGATCACCTCGTTCGTGATGTTGGTGGCGGAAATGGGGACCATTTGCATTGCTTTGTTTTACATTGCTATTATGCCACGTCTTGCGATGCTTGCAGTTTTGCAACGACTGTCACACCTTTGCATTGTCTGAATCGCAAGCAAGAAGGTCCAACACGAAGCAACTTCTCGTAACAGTATTGGGACGACGGAGACAGACACCTCGAGCCTTCCAACATCTTCCGACCAAGAATCTCCAAATGCCTTGGCCAAGGAGTTTGAGGCCGCCCAGAAGAGAGGCTTGCTCGGTGGGCCCTCGCAACAGGTGTCTGGGCAGTTGGTCGGAAGGCAAAAGAGTATCTCGAAAACTTCTGAATAAAGGGCACCTTGGCTGACTGCCGGAGGTATAGGGAGGCTTCTGCGAATGTTTACACCTGTTCGGGGTGTAACCTGCCTTATGATTTGGTATGGCTCGAAGCCGCTGGTCCTCCTGGACCTCTGGAGTGCAGAGACTCGACGTTTGCAGCATAGATGTCCCTTTAGGCCCTTGAGACTTAAGGCCCCCACACGGGCATTGAGTTCCAGGTGCCAGTGCAGCCGACAGCTGCTGCCTCTGCCCAGGCCCAAGTGGGACGATCGTCGCAGCATCCCGTGACCATGTTTTTGCATGCCCCAGGTCCGGAAGGAAGCACCGGCTGAGCACAGGTCCGTTGTCCGATCGACTCTTTTTGCCGCTATGCACGGAGCAGCTCAACGTCTCCTTGAGAAGAAGGATTTCAAGGAATTGGACACCGATGGTGATGGCCTAGTCTCGCAGAAGGAGCTCGACTCTTCTTTGGCCGACATGAAAGTTGAAGGCCAGGAGATGGAACAAGCAAGGCAGCAGATATTGCAGCAAGCGGACACGGACGGCGATGGCGTACTCTCCCAGGAGGAGTTTGAGCGCGCCAAGGCCGAGGTTTCAAAGAAACAGACGTCCGAGTACTCCGAGAAAAAGCTGCTGGTCCGCAGCATCCTCGGCGGCACTTACTCTGATGCCTCCAAGCGACTTCTGCGGACCAAGACGTTCCAGGAGATGGACAAGGACGAGATGACGAAAAACGGAGTGCAGAACCAAAAAGCTGAGCTGCTAAGAACTGATGAGTATACGTATGTCACGTTGGGTTCCCTGACAGCCCGTCCACAACATTAAGCTATGCCGTATGTCAGTAGGCCGTGTCTGACAGGATACTTCGATTTTAGTTTCGGCACTCTCAGGCCCCGCATCACCTGGTCTGGTCAGGACGGCGATGGACGGATTTGTGAGGAGGAGGTCGGCGCGGCTCTCACGAGCATGGCGGTGAGCGGAGAGGAGGCCGTGCAGGCCGGTAGTTTGACACAGTTTCGGGATTCAGCTGAGACAGGCCCACAAGAAGTTCAACGCGCAACTGGACAGGTTACAGCATAAGTGCTCAAGGAACACAAGCTTAAGTCTGATTTGCAACAAGAAGAACTCGTTTATGCGGCGACTTCAGAGAAGCTCCCAGCAAAAGCGGCGTCATGCACTAGTCACTACCTGGAACAACCCGAAACCTTGCACGCGCATATTTTCGAGGTCGACTGCCAGAAGCTGTGCTCAAAGCAGCCTCTGAAAGAAAGCTTGTCAACATGGCTGATGAGCCGCACAGAAGCCCCGAACTGAGGCCCACACCCGAATGCAGATAATGCAGCCCTCCAGGCGAGAGCCGAGCTAATGCAGCAAGTCGACAAAGACGGCGATGGCAAAATCTCGCAGGAGCTCTGAAGCCTGGATATGGGAAGCTTGGGCTACCGGTCCCGGTAATTCCTTGTAAGTTCTCGCGCACCCAGCTAGCATCGGTTTGCTGGAATGCTAGTTAAATATGCCCTCTTCCTGTCACCTGGATGCTTATGCAAAACGAGCCACAGCTCACAAGTGATATGCCAGTCCTGGTACAACCAAAGGCTGAGAGCGGCAGCACACCTTCAGCCCGAAGCTCCCGAGCCTCACCTCTAGGCCCTACTATCGGCAATCCAAGAACAAGAAGCCATAACACCAAATCGAAACCCACATGTGCGGCACCATGTATCCGATCAGATATCCCTGGCTACCCTTAGAGAGGGCCAGCTTAAAGCCCTGGTTTCAGGAGGAGTTGCAGCAGGCCAAGGCGGAAGCCGAAGCAGAAGCTCCGACGACGACTCCCGCAGCTGGGATCAGCAGATTGAGGGCTCACAGGGCATAACACTATTCAAGCAAGAGGACCAGTCGCGGTTGCAGAACCCTAGTATCAGCGGCCACGCAGAAGTCAATCAGAGTCCGGTCGCAACGATATCCGTGTCTGGTGTAACACAATTGCCGATCACAAGGAGCCGAGATCATTGACTCGCAGCCTGCTGGCCTTGACCTACTCCGACATTGCCAAAAGACTTCTGGAACAGAAGAGCTTCAAGGACTTGGACAAGGACAGAACGCCCCGCATTCAAGATGTTTGAAAGACAAGCTGGGCAATCGGGAAGTCTAGGACGTGCCAGTCAGTCCACAGCCATTAGTTTTTCACCCGGCCGTTCACACACCTCCATAAATTTCCGTTTCGCGTAAGACCATATTCCCTCACCTCACGCACCCAAGCCCTGTGGCCACGGGCTGCAGGATGGAGATGGATGTGTGACCAAGGAGGAGTTGGATGCGACACTTGGGACGATGCTGAATCAGATCTGCCACAACGTTGAACAAACAACATGCCTCTCACGAGTTTTGCTTTCTGCCAGTGCTCACTTGAATCGAAACCTCTGTGTTCATGCCTGCTGCCTGTCGTGCTTACTAGGGAGCAGCGAGGGTGACATTGCCCAGACAATAAGGTTGCTCAGTGCCAGTGACCTCCCAGGTCTTAATTAGGGCTAGGTACCGGTCGCTTGGCAGATCAACCTTGTTTCGCACAGACGCCTTTCAACCGTTCCCCCAAAGCCAACCTCGCTTGTGGGCATAGATCCTTAGCCATGCGAGAGGGAAAATGCCTGCTGCAAAAAAGCATATGTGTTTTTCATTGAAACAGCGGCGCCCGTCAATGCAGCATGTCCCACTGATGCGAAAGTGTCAGCTGTGTGGCGATTGACAATCTGAGGAACTTGGCAGACATGAATGTAAGTGGTGAGGAAGCGGCGAAAGCAAACAAGGAAATCATGCAGATGGTCGACAAGGATGACTGCAAGGGTTCCCCAGGCATTACATACAGTGTGCAAGTTTAAGTGTAGTGGCGAGGGTATGTTTACTGCAAGACGCGACGTCCCGTCGCGTTCCTTACAAGTACAAGCTGTCCGATACAGAGAAAGAGAGAGAGAGAGAGAGAGAGAGAGAGAGAGACCGATATGTGGAGGTGAGCCCGAGCTGACCGCTGCCTTCCCCCGAAAACCCCAAACAATGGGGGGCTGTTAGGGGCCGGGGGGCTTGAGACGCCCCTTAAACCCGAAGGAAGAAGAGAGCCAGATGTGTGTGTATGTGTATATATATATACACACATATATATATATATATTTAAATCTATTTATTTATGTGCGTGTGTAAACAAACATATTATATATATAAATTTATGTATATGTTTGTATGTCTGCCTGCCTGTCTGTCTGTCTGTCTGTCTGTATGTATGTATGTATGTATGAATGGAGCCGCGTACGTAAATGTATGATATGTGTTTATGAGTACATGCCTACAGTATATCAGCACTAATCAGCACGTGAGATTGCTACCCATTCTGATAGTGTGAAGCTACCAGCCATCCCCAAGAGTCCCTAGATGTTGGGGCGAAGTCGAAGAGAGAAGTGCGACACTGCGAGAAGACCTTTGGCCTCCCGGACGTGAGGATGGCGACGGTGTAATCTCCAATGCAGAGCTTTCGGAAGCAAAAGCCGAGCTGTCCCTGGGTGTAGACTGAGAAAATAGTGTCTTTTGAAGAAGCTGGTGATGTGCAGGCAGAGGTGGTTGCCGTGCATGGGACATGTGATGGTCAGGGTAGTTCAAGGAGCCAGCAACATCCATCGATAGCCTCGCATTTTGATGACTGTCTGGCATGACGACTTCTTAGCCTGAGGCAGCCTCGCTAATTTTATTGAACCCAAGAGAAAATTCCATCATAGCCGAAAAGTTCCTTGAGTCCGACAGCCAACGCTTGAAACTGCCGAGGCAAAAGTCGTGATCCACGGGCCGTGCCTGCTCCGAAAATGACCTCCGCAGACTCATGATGCTAGATGAGAAGACTACCATGCTACGCTAAGGGGATTCGGAGCGGCAGCATATGCACAGGCCCAGTCGATGCTGCTGCTGCTGCTGCTGCTGCTGCTGCTGGATTCACTCTCATTGCTGTCCTACTGCTACTGCTACTGCTATTTGCTGATGCAATAACGACAACAAAAGCAGCAGCCACAACAACAACAACAACAACA